AAGGTTAAGGTGATTCAGGATAGACTCCGTACAGCCCAGTCCAGACAGAAGAGTTACGCGGAAGGTTCGTGATGTTTCCTATATGGTTGGAGAATGGGTTCTGCTTCGGGTTTCGCCTATGAAGGGTGTTATGAGATTTGGGAAGAAAGGGAAGTTGAGTCTGAGTTTTGTTGGCCCTTTTGAGATATTGAGGCATATTGGGGAGGTTGCTTATGAGCTTGCCTTACCTCCCAACTTGGCAGGAGTTCATCCGATATTTCATGTTTCGATACTCCGGAGGTATTACGGTGATCTGTCGCACGTGTTGGATTTCAATTTAGTCCAGTTGGACAAGGATCTATCTTATGTTCAGGAGCCAGTATCAATATTGGACAGGCATGTTAGAAAGCTGAGGTCAAAGAACATTGCTGCAATAAAGGTTCAGTGGCGGGTAAGCCGGTCGAGGAGGTGACTTGGGAGACCGAGCAGGATATGTGCAGCTGTTACCCTCATCTTTTCACTAGTTCAGGTATGTCTTTATGTTCGTTCGAGGACGAACAAATGTTTAAGTGTAGGAGGATGTGACGACCCGACCGGTCGTCTTAATAATTTACACCTCGATCCCCTATTAACTGCTTTCCCCGAGTTTATTTCTGCTATTTTGATTTGCCGGGATGTTTGATTTCGAGTGTCAGAGAGTTTTGGGACACTTAGTCCCTAAATGAGAGCTTAAAGTTGATTGTAGTCGGAACAATGTGAAGACGGCCTCGGAATGGAAATCCGATGGTTCTGTTAGCTTCGTTGGGTGATTTCGGGTTTAGGAGCGTGTTCCGATTGTGTTTTGGAGGTCCGTAGCTAATTTATGCTTGAAATACCGAAAGTTGAATTTTTGAAGTTTTCGGTCCGATAGTGAGATTTTGATCCGAGGGTCGGAATGGAATTCCGGAAGTTGGAGTAGCTCCGTAGTGTTGAATATGATGTGTGTGCAACATTTCAGGTCATTCGGACGAGGTTTGATAGACTTTTTGATCGAAAGCGTATTTTTAGAGTTTTTGAAATTCTTAGGCTTGAATCCGATGAAAAATAGGTGTTTTGATGTTGTTTTGAGCGTTCCGAAGGTTGGAACAAGTTTGAATGATGTTTTAAGATTGGTTGGCATGTTTGGTTGAGGTCCCGGGGGCCTCGGGATGAATTCGGATGGTTGCCGGAAAGATTTTTGGAGTTAAGTTGCCGCTTCAGCTGCTGGTTCTGTCATAACCGTACCTACGGTTTGGGTTCCGCAGGTGCGGTGCCGCAGAAGCGGCTCAGTGACCGCAGAAGCGGAATTTGGGAATTTCTTCAGGAACCGCATAAGCGATTGTAATTCTGCAGAAGCGGTACCACATCTGCGTATTGGAAGTCGCATATGCGGAACCTGGCCATTAAGTGAAAAGTCGCAGGTGCGACCTTTGATCCGCAAAAGCGGAACCGCAGATGCGGAAATCGCTGGGCAGAACATATAAATTCTTGTTTTCGCGAAATTTAGCCATTTTTCATCTTTTTCAAAACGGGAAGAAGCTTGGGGAACACTTTTCAAGAGGGATTTTCAGAGGAGTTCATTGGGGTAAGGTCTTTGGTCCCTAAACTCGTTATTGGAATGACTTTTATCAATTTAAGCATGAAAAATTAAGGAAAATTAGTGGTAATTGGGGGGCTGGGGCTTGTCTAATTGGAGACCTTTGAGTGATGATTTGAGGGACAAAATGAGGTCCGATTTTGGTACTTTTGATATGACTGAACTCATGAGAGTGCGAGAGTTCTGGAAATATAAATTTTACCCGATTTCGAGATGTGGGACCGAGGGGCATTTCGGTCATTTTACCTAAATTCGCGTATTAGCTTAGAATTTCTTTGTAGAATCAGTTACCTGAAGTGTTATTTACATTATACAATTGAATTGAATAGATTTGGGCCATTTCGAGACGAGTATTCGTGGCAAGAGCGTGGTATCAGATTGATTTTTGAGCCGGTTCGAGGTAAGTGGCTTGTCTAACCTTTTGTGGGGGACCTTCCCCTTAGGAATTGGTATATTTGGTAATTGAAATGCCTTGTACGTGAGGTGATGAGTGTGTACTTGTGCTAATTATTGGAAATTTGATTTTCTTTAAGTAATTACTGGTATGTTTCCTTTCCTGTTTTTATTACTTGCACTATTAAGCCTGTTGGTAGCTTAGGAAAGCATGTCTAAGTGACTTAATTGCTTTACTTGCTCAAACTGCCTTACCTGAATTTTGTGCAGCATGCTAGACTAGAATTACTTGTTCGCCTTAATATGACATTGCCATTTCTGAATATTTTGCTGTTGCTGCTGTGTATTTACATTGGGACTACGAATGTGGGATTCCGGTAGATCCCCTCCCCCTTGCCTGTTTACTTGGGACTATGGATGTGGGATTCCGGTAGATCCATCTGCACAGTTATATGGAACTAAGAGACTGCACCTGGTAGATTCCCCCAGTATTGGGTATTTACATTTGGGGGCTACGAAACGGGATTCCGGTAGATCACCGGCGCACTATAAGTTGGACTACGGGACGACACCCGGGAGATCCACTGGACATTTACATTTGGGGGCTACAGGACGGTATCCTGGTAGATCCCCGATTGCTATCTCTGTGTTGAGCTGTGTTCCCTCGGTGATGACTTTGCCTCTGTTCTAGTTGTTGTTACTCTTTCTATTCTATGTTATTTCTTATTGTTGCACTTAATTATACTGTCTTGTTCTACACTGTTATACTTTGTATTTTATTTAACCTCAGTAGGGCCCTGACCTTCCTCATCACTACCAGACCGAGGTTAGGCTTGGCACTTATTGAGTACCGCTGTGGTGTACTCATGCCCCTTCTGCGCATGTTTTTCATGTGAAGATCCAGGTACTTTCACTCTGTCTTATCATCCTTGAGGCGATGCGCTTCTGTAGAGACTTCGATGTATATCTGTCGCGTTCGCAGATCGTGGAGTCCCTTTCTATCTTTCTGTAATAGTATATCCCTTCAGTATTCCTCTTTTGGTTAGACGTTTCTAGAGTTAGAGCTTCTTATGTATCTCTTAGCTTGTGATTCATGGGTTTCCGGGTTTTGAGAGAGGTATATATATTGGATTTGAGAGTTATATTTTGTATGCCGAGCGGCACTTTTAAAACGCTGTTTTATTACATTATTTCTATTTTAAATTGTATTCTTCCGCAAATTGGTTTATCTTATGCGTTTTAAGCTTACCTAGTCGTAGAGACTAGGTGCCGTCACGATGGTTCATGGAGGGCGAACCGGGGTCGTGATAAGGACTAACAATTAATGCAGGAAACTCCAACATATATGCTGTTAATATGAAGACTCAGGAGATAGAGAGCTTATGTGAAATAACTGGCTATAGTAGAGGCAGTCTTCCCTTCAAGTACCTAGATGTTCCAATATCATTGAATAAGCTATCAAAAATGGATTGTCAAGTACTAATAGATAAAATAATAACTAGAATAAGGAGTTGGGGTTCAAAGCACCTATCTTATGCCGGGAGAGTGCAAATGATTAATGCAATGTTGATGCATCTCCACACGTACCGGGCATCGAATTTTCTGCTTCCCAAAGCAGTGCTCAAAAGAATAACAACAATATGTTGTAACTATCTATGGGATGACAAGGTGGAAACAAATAGAAGACCATTAGTGGCATGGGATATTGTTTGTAGGCCAAGGCAAGAGGTAGGGAAAGGAATAAAGGACTGCATAGCATGGAACGAGGCATCAATAGGGAAATATGTTTGGGATATAACGACAAAGGCTGATTCTTTGTGGGTCAAATGGATCAACCATATATACTTAAAGAACACTGATTGGTGGCTATACAGTATACCACAAGATAGTAGCTAGTATTGGAAGAAAATTTGCCATATAAGAGACAAGCTTGAAGGGGTATATAATCAGGGAGGATGACAATCACAAATAGGTAGATATACAATCATGAAAGGGTACTCATGGTTGAAAGAAAATCTGGTCAAATGCCATTTGGGAAGATGGGTTTGGAATAAGCAAAATATTCCAAAACATAGCTTCATTTGTTGGCTGATTATGCAAAGAAAGCTGCTCACAAAGAATAGGCTAGCTCACAGAGGGATCAGTTCAGATGGCATATGTGTATTATGTGGAGAATCAATTGAACACTTGTTCTATGTGTGCCAATTTTCTAAATTGTATATTACTGAAATTCTTCAGTGGTTAAAGATAAGAATCACAAACTATGAAGGGCAGCATCTATGGAAAAGAGTAGGCAGGAAAATGAGAAGTAAACTAAGGAGGGAGTTCTCCTTTGTTGTATTGGCAGCATTGAACTACCACATATGGAAGGGGAGAAACGAAGCCTTATGGAAAAGTTCAGTGCCTAGACCAAGCAGGTTATGTGATCAAATCAAAAAGGAATGCAAAGTTCGTGTGATGGAGATAATCAACAAACGGAAGCGGGACAAGGATAAAAGATGGATAGAAGAAGTATATAACTAGATAGGGGATAGAAATAAATACTACTTGTACAGAATAGGATACAAATAAATTTACTTGTGCTTAGCTGAGTAAGTACGAGAATTTATATATAGCAGGGTGCTAGAGTCGTTTTGTATTTCCTCATTATACTTGTTCTGGTGATGAATAAAAATTTTCATTCGACCAAAAAAATTAAAATTAACTACTACTATCTTTTTATGGATATAGCAATGTTGTGAAACACCTTTGAAAATATTGTCACTGACTTACTTAGGTACTAGAATATCTCTTAATTTGATTTGTGATCCTACTTGCTAAGTTGACAGTTATGTATATCTCTTTCTCTTTTTACAAATTACAATATACACATCAATTCATTAATGTAGTAATTCGTTGTTGGTTCATTCATTTATTCATTCATCCTTTGTAGTATGATTGAAGACTATGGTAACATCCTTATCTCCGCGGCCGCTTAAATTAACAACCACTTTCTCACCATCCTCTAGAGTAGGGCAAAGTTTGTCAAGAAATGCAAGTGCGTGAGAAGCTTCCAAGGCTAGGAATATCCCTTCTAGCCTGCACAACCGTTTATATGCTGCAACCACAAAAGTGAACAAACATTCATTGATGTTGAAAACTTGAATGGTTATGATTCCATCTTCCACAAAAGGTAATCAATTTACCTTCTAAGGCTTGTTCATCTGTGACAGTATAAAACTCTGCGTGCCCGATATCTTTTAGAAAGCTAAGCTCTGGGCTAACACCTGGGTACTCTAATCTGCATATTCAACAATATTAATTGCATTAAATTTGGAAGGTTACATTGAATACTCATTTATAGCAAGGATAAAACTTAAATTATGTATAGCTAACGTTAAAGATTTTTTTTAATATACTATCAATGATATAGTTTAAGCCGTGATAGCAAATAAGTTGTCAATTTTATCAGGTTACCCATTAACGCATTAAGGATATTTACATATAATTACTTTATAGGTGATCTTATTAATAAAAAAATATTTTTATCAATTGAACTTGGTTTATCAATCCACATATATGCTCCATGTCACTACAGGATGTGGTGGATTGGAAGAGATTCCTCCACCCTTAACTAGAGGTATTGAGTTCCCTCTAAATAGAAAAATTCCTTATAGGGAGTGCTTTTCCTATGCCAGCGGCTTAGTCAAAACATAAAAAGTAAACATGCAAAAAGGCAAAGGGAGTCAACATATATTATATATATATAAACATATTTTTTTACCTATCTATGCAATGTAAATTTCTAGCAAAGGGGTATCAATTGACACCCTATGGCAAAGAATGGCTTCGCCACTGCCCTATACAACACGGATCTAAAGTAGCCGAGTCAGTTGATTACATATACCAGATGGCTCAAAAAAAAAATGTTCTTTTATTCCTTACTTGAGCTGAAAATGACATTCTATATAATTGAGCTCTCTTGATTAAAATTATCCCTACGCTTAAAATTAAAGTGAAAACTTACCCCACACCTATTGAGTAAGGTCCAATAATTTGTCCTTCCTCATCTTGTAACAGATAGCTCATTGCACCATGATAATTATCGCCTAAAATTTTACCGGCCCATAAAATAATTATCGCATCGTCATGACCGTTCCTCAGTTTTTAGTGTTTTTGGGCCATAAAACTAGAATTCCACTCAATTCTCAGATTTTGTATACTATAACCCACGCTATTTGCATGGCCGAACCTGAATCACCTAAAATTTCG